TTTATTTGTCCTCTTTCATGAACAAGTATTTTTTTCCTTGTAAATGCATTTAAATTCATAATTTTCTTCAATCTCTTAACCTTTAGCAAAACCTTTAACCTTTAACCAAGGCTCGCGACTGGCTGTTCGCCAGTAATGTCACACATTCATGTGCACGTGCTCCACAAACTCAGGATCAAAGCCTGAGTTGACAAAGAAAGCTGATGATCAGCATCATGGTACCAACAAAGCCGGATTGGAGTGGTTTGGTTTTGTCAACTCGAAACTAATCCTGTAACTCTGAATTTGTTCATCTGCCATCATGGTACAGGCCCCAGTCTTTAGTGTCACGTGATCCTTCAAAAACCACTATAACATGCCGATTTGGTGCTCAAGAAACATTTTATTATAATTTGTTAAACAGTTGTGCTGCTTAATTATTTTAGTGGAAACTACATTTTTTCCAGCATTCTTTATTATTAGAAAGTTCAAAAGAACAGCATTTATTTGAAATATAAGTCTTTTGTAACAATATAAATGTCTTTACACTGTCACTTTTGATCAATTTACTGCATCCTTGCTGAATGAAAGTATTCAGTTCTTTAAAAAAAATCTTACTGACCCCGAACTTTTGAATGGCAGTGTAAGTGTATTTTTTTTTTTATTACACTAGTACAATTTTTTTCACTAGTTTTTAACTTCTAAACAAGTGAAACAAAATCTGTGTTGCTTCTTGTGTAAATTTATCATGTTTTGAGAGATATAATGTTTTTGTATTTTAACTGAAATATTATTATTATTATTATTATTATTAATAATACTTAAGAATAGAAAAGTGCTCTAGGTCAGTGCTCTGTACCTTTGTGTCTTCAGGTGAGCGTGTAGGGGGCTTCACGGTGGTCTGTAAGGATGCTGAAGAGGCTAAGCGTGTGGAATCCCAGCTGAAAATTCTCATTCGGCCCATCTACTCCAACCCCCCTATGAATGGAGCTCGTATCGCCTCCACCATTCTCGACACGCCTGAACTCTACAAAGAATGGTGAGTCCTGAGATAAAGTCCCATCACAAACACAGCCAATGAGAACTGAGCTCTACAGACTGTCGCTTTACTGTTTTTCTCTTAGGCTCGTGGAGGTGAAAGACATGGCCGACCGCATTATTAAGATGAGGGAGATGCTTGTGTCGAACCTGAAGAAGGAGGGCTCCACTCACAACTGGCAGCATGTCACTGACCAGATCGGAATGTTCTGCTTTACGGGACTCAAACCGGAGCAGGCAAGTCAAGTGGAAGTGCATTCTGGGAATCTCTGATAAGACCTCAGCTATTTTCACTATCAGCCTTTTCTCACTGGCTTTTCTCTGCTTGTCTTCTTTATGGCTCTTTATCAGGTGGAGCGTCTGATTAAAGAATTCTCTATATACATGACAAAAGACGGCCGGATCTCTGTGGCTGGTGTGACGTCTGCAAACGTGGGATATCTAGCACACGCCATCCATGCTGTTACCAAGTGAAGCTGGCTCCTGAGACTAGTTTCAGCAGACAGAGAGCAAGAAAAAGTAATTTAAACGATTTAAAGTCTTCTGCTGCATGTCTTTTAGGACCAGATATGAAATAGGACTAATGTAGACTTCCAGTTCACTTGATTTGGTATTATTAATGTTAATTCATGACTCTGAATGTGAGAAAATCAATAAATTAAGGCAGGATTCTTCCTTTCAAAGTGATAAAAACAAGCTTTAAAAGCTTTTTTTTATGGTACAAAATGTTCCGATAGAACAGTTAATGACATTTAAAAATCATGTTTTTGTTTTCAAACCAATAACTAAATAAGAGTGATTGAAAAGCATATGGGGTAACTTTAAGTTAGAGAAATCATTGAAAGGAGTAAACCAGATTTCATGTTTGGACATTAATTGCAAAATCTTTGAAGGACTGTAACCAGTTTAACATGGTCATTTCACCTAGAGGAGCATAAACAATTACATTTATCAAACTGATGATTCGGCATCAAAGGTCTTCTTGAGCCATAACACATTCTTAGACATGTTTATGACTGTAAGGCACTTATTCTATACTGCAGCTTAAGCTCATTATTAGTAATGATAGATTGTCTATAATGTGTGCACCACATGTGTTCTGGTGTAATTTAATATACATTTATCTTGCACTTTTGTCTAGAAGTTCCAAATGTCACACATAAATCATTTCATAAATCATTAGGCATTCACACTAATTTTGTGTTTTGTCCTGGCCATAAAACTCATATGTCAAACTTTTTTTTTTTAATTGTCACTGCATTTGTGGACAAAATCGAATTAAGATTCATTTTGGAATGAAAACTGAACAAAGTATAACTGATATTTCAGTGGTTAATTGATGCTTTAAGAAAAGCTTTACGTGTTTAGTGTGTGGATGTTGATCATGTTGGAACATGCCATGTTTGTAAGGATTATTCAGGTTTGAAAAACTGTGCAAATATATATATTTGTATAACTAATTATTGTGTTCCTAAAGCAAATTTATGAAATTTCTCCCGAAGTTCTCCGGAATAGACATCGAAATGTCACGAGTAATACTGTATGAGTCTGTTTAAACAATGAACAAAAGAATAAAGGTGAGCTCAACGAAAACTCGAGTGTTTAATTTTTTAGGGAAAGCTTGTATAAACATAATTTTGTGGGTCACATGATCGTATTTTATAATAAAGCTACTTCTGAGTATGGTGAAGCGGAGCTACAGGGGAATTGTCGACTGTGGTGACGCAATGGAGACAGCCGATTCCCGGATCACGTGATGGTACTGTCCTCTAACTTGTATCGTCTCGTTCAAGATAGGAAATTAAACTCGTGTTCTCGATTAAAGTGACAAAATGACTCATGCGTTTAAAAACTGTTCAAACCTACTGGGCACCGGAGCCAGTCGAGGCCTCGGGCTGCAGATAGTTGAGAGTCTGGTAACGGGAGGCTTCTCTCCCGGGAAGATTATCGCTACTGCTCGCAATCCAGATGGAGCCACGGTAATGCTGTGAGCAGACAGTAGAAGGCCTATTTGCATTAGGCCTACTATACAAACATTAGAAACCAGCCCCAGATCATATACAGTCATTTTAGCTGCAGGAGAACGTGCACATGCCTAGTTGAGAATTACGATCAACATGCATTATTTAAACATTAACATTTTAGGTTAAGTTGCATATTATTTAACTTTTTAGTGATAATTTTTAAAAGAATAGATATTTCATGTAGTTTAATTATTACGCGGACCTAAAGGCCACACGTGTAATAATTATAAAAGAAAAAAGTTTACAATAGTTTAAAAGGCCTGTTTGTCTTATAGGAATTGCAAATGTTGGCAGAAGAACATCAAAACACACATTATTAAACTGGGTAAGTACTAAAGCACCGTCTAATCTGGATAAGTGGTTCTCGGCTGGTTTTGCTTCTTGACCCAGTTTTTTTATTGGACATTAGGTGGCGAGCTAACACAACACACATTTTTATTGTTAAAAAAAATCCACCAAGGGTTAAATTAAAGGATTAACATTACCATGAACTACCATAAAATTGACAGTTTTATAAATGCATAAACGACAACAAATGTGTCTGCCTTAAACTGAATGAAAACGGGGAAGAGTCAGATTTTCTTTTACCTTACATTCTTTTCTTAATGATTTAGTGGATGAGGGCATGCATGTTGCCTAGTTTTTCTCCCCGCTGCGGAAAAAAATAAAATAAAAAAGAACTAGCTACCCATTTTTGGCTAGTGACACCAGTTATGAACTTGATCTAGAAGCTGTATTTGAAATTAAGAGTTTGTTTATCTAACTCTAATTGTGTACGTCTCTGTTGCCTAGGTGTTACATGTCAGCAGAGTATAGAGAGAGCTGCATCTGAGGTGGAACAGCTTGTTCAAGAGGAAGGACTGAACTGTCTCATCAACAATGCTGGAATTAATGTAGTTACCAACCTTGAGACAGTCACCGCAGACAAGATGTTGGAAAACGTCCATACCAACTCTGTTGCCCCGTTGATGATCACCAAGGTTTCATTTCTCAAATTAAATCCAGACACAATATGCACTCAAATCTACTCTCAACACAAATGTCTGAAAACGTTCTGACTTACTGAACTTGTGATGCAGGCCATGCTCCCACTGCTGAAGCGAGCAGCTGCAAAGGGCACAGGGAAGGGGATGGGCATTCACAGAGCAGCAGTCATTAATATGACGTCTCTACTGGGTTCAATTGAGCTGTACTGAAGTGATCGTGCCAACACCTTCAAATGGTACCCATACAGAACATCAAAGGTTTGTGATAGTGTTCCTGGAGCTTAATGTCAAGATAAAAGTGTTAATTCCCAGGGAAGGGACAAAGTAATATAAGTGTTTACACTGAAAGTCAATTTGGATATTCATTAACATTTATAGGGATAGTTCACCCAAAAATGAAAATTATGTCATTAATTACTCACCCTCATGTCGTTCTAAACCCATAAGACCTTCATTCATCTTCGGAACACAAATTAAGATATTTTTGATGAAATCTGAGAGACAGCAACGCAACTACCATGTTCAAGGCCCAGAAAGGTAGTAAGGACATTGATAAAACAGTCCATGTAACATCAGTAGTTCAACCTTAATTTTATGAAGCTACGAGAATACTATTTGTATTTAAGTCACTTTTTGTATTGCGTCGTGGTACTCTTGTGAGTGGTGGTGGATACTGACCAGAAGAGAAGAAATTGTTGAATAAAGTTATTTTTGTTTTCTTTGCGCACAAAAAGTATTCTCATAGTTGAAACACTGTCGTCACATGGACTATTTTAAAGTCCCCATGAAATCAAAATTAAAGTTTTTTTGGGTGTTAGTATCAATATGTTAGTCTTAAGGTTATCTATAAGGCAGTGTGCTCCAAAACAGTGACAAAATTCGCATTTAGAAGATATAAGCGTTCAAAGCTTTCAGTTCGTCACTTCCGCCAAAACGGCTCAACGATTTTTTTGAGGTCACATCATACTTCAGCCAAAGAGTATAGAAGACCTTTGCTTCAGCTTCTCATCAAACTTTCTGTCCAATCAAATGCTCTCTAGAATCCGAAGTGCCCGCCCCCTACACTATAAAATAGACGCTGAAGGCGCGGCTGAAATTGGTCACTTGTACACAGAATTAGTATTTTCTGTACAGTGAATGGCATATAGTGCACTATATAGGGGACAGGGAACGATTCAAACAGTGTAAATATGCTTTACATTGAGGAAAAAAATAAGTTTGGTTTGGCACTGTGTACCTTTCTGGACCTTGAACATGGTAGTTCCCTTGCTGTCAGAAAGGTCCAGGATTTCATCAAAAATATCTTAATTTGTGTTTCAAAGATGAACAAAGGTCTAATGGGTTTGTAATGACATGGGGGTAAGTAATTAATAACAGAATTTTCATTTTTGGGTGAACTAACCCTTTAATTCTTTTGTTGAAGCACAGTTTTCTATGGAAGCCCGTTTCCTCAATGAAAAAAATAAAAAGGTAATTGTGAACCTTTTAACTTACAATTCTGACCTTTTTCTCACAATTTCTTTTTAAAAAGTCAGAATTACAAGATACAAACTTGCGAAGAAAAAAATCTGAATTGCTTGTATCTTGCAATTCTCACTTTTTTCTTAGAATTGTGAGAAACAAAGTCTGAACTGTGGGATTAAAAAAAATTGCAATTCCTTTTTTTATTCTGTGGTGAAAACAGGCTTTCATGGCTTTCTGTATTGAAGAATATAATAGTATGTCTGTGAATATATAAATTGAGATACTGAGTTGCATTTGCTTTGCATCAGAGTGCACTGAACATGGTCACCAGATGCTTGGCAGTGGACCTGGAGGCAGATGGGATCCTGTGTATGGCTCTGCACCCAGGCTGGGTACGCATTGATATGGGTGGACCAGAAGTGAGTCTCTTTCTTCTATATCTGTTCTTTATCACAGCTATCTGCTAAGCAAATTGTTACAAAACGTCTAAAATGAGAGATAGACTCTTGTGGTTTGTTGATTGTTTTGTATACAGGCACCATTGAGCCCTGAGGAAAGCATTTCCTGTGTGTTGTCTGTGATTGGTGGTTTGACTGAAAAGGATCATGGGTCATTTCTTCACTATACTGGTGAACAACTACCCCGGTGATGCTGCAGATGTTTTTTAGATGCGAGAAATAGAGGCTTTTTTTTTTTGCTATACATGTATGTACTGTATGTATGTATATTTACATATTTAATAATCAACATTCTTGTTCAGGGTTATTTTTATTTTCCCCGTACTTATGAAATGTTATTTTATTATTTGGGATGGTGAATGTGACAGCAATAAGAGTGGACCATGATTCAATTATTGTGACATATTGGCATTAAAAGCACTGAAATAATGATAACATCTTGTCTGGTAAATAATGAACAATCTTTTCACCACTTATTCTTGTTTAACTTCAACAAACAGCCAAAATTGTGAATAACATTCAGAATTTAAGTTATAATCGTAAAGTACAGCAGGGTATGACAGTCCTCAGAAAAGGACAATAAAAACTACCTTTTAGCCTATTTATTATTTATTTATAGCTTTGTAAAGCATAAAAATGTAGGTGGCTTTTCAAATTAAAGACTGTACTGACATTAAAGGGGTCATATGATGCTTTTTTAAAGATCATTATTTTGTGTATTTGGTGTAACAGAATATGTTGACATGCTTTAATGTTAAAAAACACATTATTTTTCAAATACTGTACATTATTGTAGGTCCTCTATGCCCCGCCTCGCTCAAACGCTTAGTTTTCTACAGCTATTATTGTTAAATCATAAAACTATATGTATGAATAAAGCTGTATTCTGTAACATCTTTGAATATTCTGATCTCTTGGAGGCAGAATAGTATGTTATTTCTTTACACAAATTTCAAGACATAACTATTTTCTTATAAACACATGCACATACACACAGTAAATAAACAGTTCAGCTTAGTCCATATCTTTATGTTTAGCTATATCTCATTGCACAGAACAGTTATGCATCATAATAATCAATCTGCTGTTTTTATTTTATTATAGAATCATCTAGTTTTTTTCATATACATATACATTTCTATGAATATTATTTTGTTCTAAGAGGCAAATGGAGGTTCTCCCATATACAATACTGATACTCTTTTCCATAAGCAATTATCTAATCTCACATGCTGTGGCTATTTGGATACAGGCAGTGATAAACTGGCCATTGAATTTGCACAGTGTAGTAGTAAAGAAAGAAGAAGAGGGCAGTTCTACATGAAACGCATCATATCCATCTTATGTTTCAGCTGTAGATTCAAGAAAGTAACACAGATGAAGCCTGTTTAATAAGACCTGAATGAACAAGTGATCAAACAGGTTTGCCCTTGTGTTTGCTGATCATCTGTCAGGCGATCGCTGTCAACTGCATCTCAGTATGGATCCGCTCCGGTCGTAGTTTATTCGCAAAATGGAACTAATGGAGGAAAATTAAAGCTTGAAAAGGTAGGGTTTCTGCCTTTGGTTCTTTTATTAGTGCTTTCCTTTTAAAAATACATTTAGTACACAGAAGCCTGCAAGAATCCACACTTGTCTTTCCCTGAACAGTATCTCATCAGACTGACATATAAAAAAACTTTTTTTACTTTATATATTATGTAAAATACTATATTACTAACCGTGTATACAGTATTATATAAATCTGATTCTTGTCTGGATAAATATGAGTATCAACCAATATCAATAATTCCAACAAAAGTAGCCTAACTTTATGTCCTTCATTTCCAGGTCTGTACATGGCAGAAAGACATGATTTTCTTTGCCGTTTTGGGTCTGTCCTTCAGAGAAATTCAACTGTCATTTTCAGAGGAATTGGAATATAGTATTTTGGGCATATCTGTTGTCCTTTTCTTTATAGCCCTCTGCCTTTTGATATGGCAGATTTACCGCTACTGTACACGGTTTCCCGTTTCACGAAGACCTGGTAAATTCTCATGCAAATGAGAATGATTGATTTTTATATTTGACCTAATATTACACAAGATTAGTACATAATATTACTATAAACGTGTAGTTTTAGATAAGCATGTTGTATTTTTGGCTTAGATGCACATAAGAGGTATATTATTTATTATATCTACAGTACTGTTCAAACGTTTGGGGTCAGTAAGATATTTTTGTTGTTGAATACTTAAAATGAATACTTTTATTGAAAAGTTGATCAGATGGGACAGTAAAGACATTTATAATGTTACAAAAGATCGTTATTTCAAGTACATTGTTCTTTTGAACTTTCTATTCATCAAATAAATAAAAAAGGTATTGTGGTTTCCACAAAAAATATTGATAAACACCAAAGCAGTATATTAGAATGATTTCTGAAGGAGCATGTGACACTAAAGACTGGAATATTACTGTTCTTATTGTATTTGTGATCAAATAAAATGTGACCTTGGTTAGCATAAGAGACTTCTTTCAAAAACATTAAAAATCGTACTGACCCAAAACCTTTGAAAAGTATATCAAATAAAAAGTTATAGAAGACATGCTAATGAGGTTTATGCAGAATATCTATCAACATCTAATAGATTCCAGTGAATATTTTGTTAGCAGATAGCCTGTTGGCTACGAGCAGAGGTTTTCAGAATGCTACACAAACAAATGACGCTAAGGTAAGATTCATTTGCATAAACCATCAATATCTTCATAACCTGGAATGCATCCATTTTGCACTGTGTTTGCTTCCTTAGTTTTTGCTTGCTCTGACCTAGATCAAACAAAATAGATCAAAAACATGTTTCACAGATGGTTGGCTTTTGGTTGCTAACCACATGTGTGTATTTCTAAATATCCAATAAGACTATAACTAGAAAATTAGACCAGATACACACTCTGTCCATCAGATGGAGGTTCATTATGAGGAATTGAGCCACCGACTGTCCCCTAGCACCTCTTGCACTAACCTGGGCAGTAGTTTAGAGCTGGCTAGCATGGCAGATCTGGAAGAGGAGAACATCCAGGGATCTCTGCGCTTTTCACTATTCTACGATCAGCTGCAGTCCAAACTGGTGGTGACGGTACTGGACGCCCAGGATCTAGCCATGCGAGACTTCAGTCATAGCGTGGACCCGTTTGTTTGGGTGCGGTTGCTGTGGGCAGAAAGAGAGGATGAGGAGCAGAGTTCAATGCAGTGTGTTCTGGACGAATGGCAGACACGTCTAGTGAAGAAGAGCTGCAGTCCTGTGTTTGGAGATCAGTTCTCTTGCACCCTGACTGAGGAGGAAGTACCAAGAGTCACTGTTAGATTTGAGGTATGTAACGGGCCTACCATCTTATTTTATTGTAACCACATCAGTTCACTTTAGATTGTATCTTTTAGGTTCGGGATTTTGATAAATTCTCAAGACATGGAATTCTAGGAGAGGCCCGTGCTCCCCTGAACAGGCTGAAGCTCTCATATCCCCTGGAGTTAAGAGAGGATCTGCACGTACCCAAGAAAGTAAGTTTTATCCTGGTATAACAAATTGGAAATTATGAGATGAAAAGCAATTGGTACAATTTCTGTGTAGGATATGGTTGGTGAGGCACTGCTCTCTCTGAAATACATGCCTACATCTCAGAGGCTGGAGGTGGGAGTGTTGAAGATCCGCACAGTATGTCATCCCAATAAGACTGAGAGAGGTGAAGAATAATGAGTGCATACTTATACATAAATGAAATTGAAATAAACTGCACTGTTAATTGTGCTGCAAACTGATACATTTTTATGCGTCATCAACCCGGAACTAAAGTTCGATTCAGTTCGATTTGTGAACCGGGTCAACTGGTTACTTCCTGAGAACCGGCTCAAAAGAACGATTCGTTCAAGAACCGAACATCACTAATTTCTATAGCTTTAATTAGACATCATTTCTAGTTTCAGTTTTTAAGTTTAGTATACATATTTTACTTGAATTCCAGCTTTATTTCAATTACCAAGAACTATTTTAATAGTTTTAGTTAACAAACGTCTGCTACAGCAACGATGACATAGAGCTTTTCTGAAAGAAGCGGTACGATTGTGTGATATTGCTTAACTATGGAAGCCCGTTTCCACCACTGAATAAAAAAAGAAAAAAGGTAATTGCAACTTTTTATCTCACAATTCTGACTTATATCTCACAATTGCGAGTTTACATCTTGCAATTCTGACTTTTTTTCTCAGAAATGTGAGATATAAACTCACAATTGTGAGAAATTAAGTCAGAGTTGCGAGATATAAACTCACAATTCTGAGAAATGAAGTCAGAATTGTGTGATATAAACTCGCAATTGTGAGTTAAGTCAGAATTGTGAGATATACCCTGCGTTCCATTCGGAAGGGCTCATCCCTATGCCCTAATCCCTTCAAAGGGTTTACCCAGTGGAATGAGAGCTTTGAAGGGTTGAAGGGTGTAGGTGACCAAACAACTGTTTCTTGAAGTGCCCTTCTGCGTCATCATCCCGTGCCCACACGGAGGTGCCGTCATTATGGAAAGAATCCGCGCAAAGGATCATGGGGGCCCGAAGTGTCCATCAGTTGTACCCTCCGAAATCCTTCATTCCGAAGGGCCCTCTGAAGTGGCCAGTTTTGAGCACTTCGGTTTGGAACGACCTTTCAATATGGCGGCCATGATTGTTTTCACTCCGAAGTGCCCTTCGGAGGGCAATATATCCCGTTTGGAACGCACCATTAGCCTAAAATCACAATTCTGAGAACATATCAGTCTTTTTTTTTCTCCTCAGAACTGGAATTTAAAACTCACAATTGTGAACAAGAGTTTATATCTCACAATTCTGAGAAAAAGAGTCACAAACAAACAAAGAGTCACAAATACAAACTCGCAACTGCGAGAAAAAAAGTCAGAATTGCGATACAAACTCGCAATTGCAAGAAAAAAAATCAGAATTGCGAAACAATTTGGTCTTTTTATCTCGCAATTCTGACTTTATAACTCGCAATTATGAGTTTATATCTCGCAATTCTGACTTTTTTTGTCAAAAAGTCAGAATTTTGAGATAAAAAGTCGCAATTACCTTTTTTTTATTTTTTTATTCAGTGGCGGAAACGGGCTTCCATACTTAATTCCATTCCATTCCTTCCTTCCGTTTAAATACAAAGTATTGCCAGTCTTTGAATTTTTTGCTCCGCCAATGGAAAATAATTCCAAACAAATCAACAGCAGAACCGTTGCAGCGCACAGTATGGTGTTTTGTTCATTAAATGAACTATTTTTCAAACATTTTTCGTTGACCCACTAATAATTATAGTCAGTTATGCCACCTACTGGCGTACCGATGAATCTTCCCTAACTGATAGCCTTTAATTGAATATATTAATTTATGCATTATAAACTAACAATGAACAAAAGTTTATTTACATTTTAATAAATCTTGTAAAATTACTTTTAAATTATCTTTAAAGTCGGCATGAAACGAAAGTTGCGATTGTCTTTTCTACTCTACTGTGAAGTATATCCAAGTGAAACGGCATCTGAAATGAGAGGGCGGGACTTGATTTCGTCCTCCGGGAATTGATTGGATCGTTGGAAGCTGGGGCGTTGCTAACAAAATGGAACAGATCTGAATGCCAGTTTGCAGTTAGTGGTGGGGGATTTCTCTTCTCCACTGGATTCACAGCCAACACCCAAGCATGAATAAATTTTTTATTTATTAAGGATGACGACGACGATCAACGGCACAGCACGCGCCTGAATGACTGAGCGCGTCATCCATCAGGTTAAGTCATATTCATGAAAAAAAAAAGAGTTTGCCATGTCTTAAGAGTAATGTTGTCGTAATATCCTAATATCTTTTCAATGTTTAGGGGTAACGTATTCCCTCATGACTGGTGTCAGTGCTATAAAGTGAAGCATCAGCCTCAGCTTCAGCTTTTCCCCATGTCGTTTATTCCAAACTTCACTGAATGTTGTAGTGATATCCTAATATCTTTTCAATGTTTAGGGGTAACGTACTCCCTCATGACTGGTGTCAGTGCTATAAAGTGAAGCATCAGCTTCAGCTTTTCCCCGTCCTTTATCCCAGCGTTTACCCCTCACGTCACTAGCTCCGCCCTTGCGCCATAGCTCGTGACCGGAAGAGAAGATGAGTCGTTTTGAGGGGGAGGGGAGGTTAACGTTTTTGATTAAAGATTATGAGGGCACATGGATTTAAAAAAAAATAATGAAGTGCACGGATAAATTATTTATAATAAACACATTTATAATAAAATTTCAATTTTGATTTCATGGTGACTTTAAACTGTTTGTTGATTGTACTATCACAGCTCTCTATGCCAAAACCAGCGTTACCTGCAACCACTGCAAACTTCGACATCAGAGGACAAAACAGAAGAAGCGTTGGGAGGTGACTGTGTTCAATGAGGTCCTGACCTTTGTGTTGCCAGATCAACAGATCAGAGAGTGCACCATTATAGTGTCTGTTTACGAAATTCAGCCTTCAAAGAATTCTTCCAAACGTTTGATTGGTCACATCCACATCAAAAAGGGCAAAACCTTCGAAAATGAGCACTGGAAACTGATGATGCAATCACTACGACAGCCAATCGCTAAGTGGCATTTAATCTTCATCTGAATACACCTCAAGTTTATTGACACTTCCAGTTCCCGAGGTGGGAGGTTGAGGTCGTACTTCCAGTGTTCTGACGATTTGTGCTACCCTGTCAGACTTTGCTACCTCCCATTAAAACAGATGGTAGCATAATTCGATAGCAAAAAGTGCTACCTATCAGATTTTGCTTCCAGCATGATATTAATAAGGTGTGAGGCTTTATTAACATGTACACCTACCCTTACAGTAGGATAAATACAGTGTTGGTAGCATAATTTGATAGGTAGCATTATTTGTCAGAACACCGGCATTTATGCCACTGTGTCATCTCAAACAATGAACTGTGTTTAATAGCATCATAAGGTGGAAATCTAAAACATTTTTGGAATACAGTGGCTGACTATTTTGTCTTGCTAAGTTAGTTTCATTGCTGCCATTTACTGTATTCTAAAAGCAAATTAGATGTATTTACATTCTTTGCTTAATTTAGAGATGTTTGGTAATGACGCACAATAAAGTATTCAGTTCAAAGGTGATATTTACCTTGATTTTTCTTCATTTTCAAACTACATCATGTCTCTTTTCATCTCAAGCATGCCCTTCACTGACACTGCTTGCTTTTGGTGTTTTAAAACCTACTAAATCAGCTGTATATTGTTGATGTTTTCGAATGACAAGGTACCAACTGTATCCACAAGATGGCTCTCTAACACTGAGATTTATGAAGCTTATCTATTTTTTTTTCACGTCAACACCTCAGACATCTGAATGAAGCATTTGAAAAGCTGGACTGAACTTTGTGGTTTTAGGGTACATATAGAGTTCATATATATACTCGTAATAATATCCTCATACAGAGGGTAGTCCGGACTGCTGAGCGAATCATTGGTACAACCCTCCCTTCTCTCCAAGAACTGTACTCATCCAGAGTGAGCAAAAGGGCTGGCAAAATCACTCTGGACCCCTCACATCCAGCACACTCCCTCTTTGAACTGTTGCTATCTGGTCGACGCTACAGAGCACTGAGCACCAGAACGACCAGACACAGGAACAGTTTCTTCCCCACCACAATTCTAATAGATCAGGAGAAGAGTTTGACCAACTGAAATAGAGATAAATAAGCACATCCACATAAATGTGATTCAGCAAGTCTGCAATGCATATTTAAATATTTAACTGACAGTAACCTGTCACCATTTTGGATTGAACAGAACAAGCATGTGATAGTATTTCTTTCCCCTCATCTATCTCCACACTGAATGTGTCTATAATGAAGGATGTCTCACAGATGGATTTGTGCTGCAAAAAGTTGCACACATCTAGGATAACAGCGTTTGGAAGGAGAACAAACCCACACTACCATTTAAACAGATGAGCGTCTCAGTGGCACATTATTTAGTTTTGGCCTGCCTCCAGATTGTTTGTTTGAAGTTACTTCTGAGCCACTGGTTCAGTCTTCTTGTAGACAATAGTGAATTAAGGCAAACATCACGACTTTGACTCATAATGAGCAGTGCTGAACAGATGTTAAGGCACCTCTGCTGCTCAAGGCCATTCCCAGGCATTACATCTCTCTCTTCAAGACTGTTTGGGAAACTGTTCCTCCCACTGTCTGTTAATGAAGGTCACGATGGGATTTGGGGAAAAAGGGTGAGCATGAGAAATCTGGGGCCTTGGAAGGGAGGAATGCATTCCTCTTTTGTCGCTTTTGTTTGAAACCACAATATTACTTGTCTTTTAAGAACCCAGCAGGGTTTATAAATGTCAAGGACATTTTACCTCACCGAAAGTCACGTTTTACTTGACCCTTTATCATTATAAGGGGAGAATGTTAGCACCTAGATAAGTTCATCATTACCCAAAAATTTATTATTATTTAACTTTTAGGTTAACATGCCATTGAGAAGTTTGGGGCCAATAAGATTTTTGTTGTTTCAGAATTTCTGTTGATGTGTTACTATTTGTATCCAGGGTGTGTCTTTTATATATTTGCATATTATACTAGGGTGAATACACCCATTTAAACACTTGATGTCATTTTGTTTTGTATTATATTGGGCGTAGGCTACCATTCATTCTACAATTATATTTGTACACTGTGTACATTGACTTTTACAAATACACTGAATATTGAAAATTGAGGCACGTAATTTGACATGAAAGTATTTCAGCTTCACATGGAAGTCAGGCTAATTAAAAATATATTTTTTAAAAACATACACCTGTTGTCTGTTCCTATTCAATCTTCACTATGTTGCAAGCCGAATTGAAATAGACTTCTATGTCAGAAGAAATGCTTTAGAGTGTTTTTTGTTATCTGTATCATTATCAGGGGAGAGTGTTAGCATCTAGATAAATTAATTACCCAAAAGTTCATTATTATTTAAGTTTTAGGTTAAATCACGACCATTCAAAAGTTTGGGGTCAGCAGGATTTAAAAGAAATTAATACTTTAATTACATAATGGAATAAATTACATTATAAAATATATTAAAATAGAAAATAGTCATTTTAAATTCTAATAATTTCAATATACATATAAAATAAATAATATATATATAAAAAAATAAATAAACGTAAAGACCCCAAACTATTGAACGAAAAACAAAAACACAGACACACACACACACACACACAAAAGCACAATGTACTATGATTTGTGATGCACTAATTTTAATACTTCATGCTATATAAGAGGAGTGTAACGATATTCCACTAAAGGCGAGTTTAAGAACCCATGTGCCATTTTTTTTTTTAGATGTAAGATGTCGGCGTTGCGCATGCGCCGGTGAGTCTCGTAAAAAAACTAAGTTTGTTTACAGGAGCAAAGGAAGCAAAGTTTCCTTACTTTAGCAAAGGAAAACCAGTCTCCTCTTGACTTATATCGAAATCCTCCGACATTCTTTTTTACAAATCCTTGTTTTGTACTTCTAATTCGTGACCGTTGTTTTGTTTTGATCTCTCCCCTGCGCGTTCGTCACTTCTGAGCGGCCATGTGCAAAGCCGACCTCATACATCATACGCCCGGAGCTGCTTCCGTGTACAACAGTGAGCGCAAGCTATATTAAATTGATTAAGTTTTAAATATGGTTATTTTTCTTACAGAAATGCATCGATTCGCTACAGGAGGCATTTGTTCACCCCCCGGAGCCGTGTGAGGCACTTTTTATTATGGATTGATGCTCTTTATTTCACTTCTTTTGGACTGTTGCACTGCAACATTAATGGCACCGCTGACTGCCATTAAACAGCTTGGAAGATCAAAGTAAATTTTTTATATAACTCCGACTGGATTCGTCTGAAAGAAGAAAGTCATATATACCTAGGATGCCTTGAGGGTGAGTAATTCATGGGCTAATTTTCATTTTTGGGTGAACTAATTAAAGCTGTACAATTGCTTTGACACAATCTGTATTGTTAAAAGCGCTATATAAATAAAGGTGACTTGACTTGACTTGACATCCGTCACGTAACTTCATTTCCAGGCAGCCTGATTAAAAAAAAAAACACCGATATGACCTTATTTCCAGAAGTTGCTCAGAGTCGGCCAATCAGATTAGTGCTTGCCAGTTTAAGAAAGTACTTTCCAGTTTGTCTGCAATAACTGCAATAACTGACTGAGTTGAGTTTGTTTCACATCTTGTCTAATTCTATTGAGTTTACACAGTTACGTTTCCACTTCACAGGTTTTTGGGACTGTGTAGAATGTTGTGGGACAGAGAATGGAATCTGACAGGCTGAAAAACAGAATTCCTGTTCCTGCTTTGTTTGGATTTCCTGCCGTGTGAAGCCTGTTGGTCTTAAAAAAAATGTTTCTTGATGTCTGAATGCCTCAGATCAACTGGGATCTCTTTAATCTGCCCAGCAAAATTCTGCCACAATTGTTTATGTTTATAGTTCATATTATTTCATTTATTTAAGCCATAAAGAGAGAAATCTTTAAGAAAAAATTATATAAAAAAAAAAAGTAAAAAAATAAAAATAAAATGCATGTTCAGTCTCTGAGTTTCTCTAAATTTTACTTTGACCCACTACTCCAATTTTAGGTCATAACATCCTGATTTAGTTGCTGTCCAAAGGTCTGTTTGTATTTGTGAAGAAATAGATTTGCTAGCTGGAAGGGCCTTGGCTTATGTAATTTTAAAAAAAAAGTTCTTAAAAAAATTATAGTCCAAAGCACTTCATAAAAGTCAGTTTCAGTTTCATTTTGGCTTGCAACGAAGTGAACAGGAACAGACAACAGGTGAATCCTGACTGGGTTTTTTTTTTTTTACTTGTTAATAATTGCAAAGTGAAATTAAAATATAGGTTTTTATGTCAAATTACGTGCCTCAGTTTTCAATATTCAGTTTATTTGTACACTCCAGTGTACACAACGTACAAATACAATGGTAGAATGAATGGTACGCCCAACACAGTACAATACAATACAAAAAAAATTTAAATGTTGTTAATAGATCTATTCATGCTGTATATTATACACATATATTTGTAGACACACCCAATACACAACACATAGCAACACATAAACAGGAATCAAGTACTGAAACAACAAAAACAACAACGACAACAACAATAATAATCTTCTCAACAGTGTGCAACGGTGGCCATTATGCCCTGGGCTGATTCATTAGTGTTGCGTAAGCAGTGTGTGAGCCAACTCTACATATCATGTGTTACTGCAGTAACAGAAGTGGTCTGGAACAGCTATACCATAAGACCTTCATAAACGCACAGCCTGAAAATATCCTATACATACATATCAGGGCATATCCCATATTTTAATCCCATATGGAGCGATAAATATAATTAATATGTATACATTTTCAACTGGGTAACATTACCTCTGCATGAATCCTTTGACCAGTTACTCATCTGCTATCCACGTTTGTCTGTTTCAACCTGCAATAAACCTGTTGTTTGGATTATAACCTGTGTTGCATTATTCTGTTTTATGACAGCTATTAAAAGTAATTTAACTATTAATTATAATTAGTCCTTACAATTTCAGTTAGACTTTTACAGTAAAAATAACATACTTTGCAGCTCATTATCAAGAGCAACAACAACAATAATAATAATAATAATAATTTCTATGGATATTATTGATTATTA